GATCAAGGCCCCCGAGTCTTCTGTGCAGATGTTAAGCCTCTGTTTCAAAATCAACCGCCGACTAACCCCACCCCCCGCCCCCTCCTCTTCTCTTTCCCCTCCCCTCCGCCAGGAAATCGCCATTTTCACCTTGGTGGAGGTCGTGCTGAAGTCGGACGGGAGCCCCCTGAAGTACAGCGCGGTGCTGAAGAGGCCCAGCGAGGCGGAGAGCGGCGCCTCCTGAGGGACCCCGGCCCTCCCCGGCCGTCTCTGCCAAAGCCGCCGTGAGCCACATCCCGCAAAGACTCTCTCGAAACAGTCAGCCCCGCGGGCCTTCGGTTTTACAGGGTCGGTGGGTTTTCATTTTACTGATGGGTTGGTTTTTTTTAACCCCGACGGGGCATCTGTGGAAACTGCAGGAACTCTTTTGGCTTCATTTGGGGGGCGATTTTTTTAACACCCTCTTCTCACCCCGGCCCCCAACGCTACCAACGAGGCGATTCAGGGCATCCCGGTCCAAACAGCAACCTCGGGGGAGCCCCGCATTTTGTGCGTGTCGCCGACTGCGGGGTCCCGGCAGAGCGTCCGCCGAGACCGTCCGTCCCTGCCGCGTTCTCTTCCGCGCCGTAATAAAAAAAAAGTGGCCGACGGTGGAGCACGGGTGTCTCTCGTTGTGTTATTTTTCCACCCCGGGGCCCGGCTCTGTGTCTGCTGGTTTCACTTCTGTCTTTTCCCCGGAGCCCCCCCCCCCGTCCTCCCTTTCCTTGCATCACAAGAAGGAAGTCCGGAGTCCTCTTCCTCTTTTCCATCCCATCTCTCCCTCCCTTCCCCAAACGTGACAGAAGGCGGCTGTCAAACCAGGATCTTGAGGATCGTAATCTGTCACTCGGGAATCTGTCACTCGGGGGCCCGGTGAGTCTGGCACGGGGGCTCTGGGAAACTTTTGGGAGGAACGGAGCTGACCCCAGCCCGTGGCCTAATAAAACTGGGAATGGGGAGAGCGGGGTACGGAGGGGGGGCAGGGGCTTCCAAAACTGGTTTGAAAGCATCAATGGCTGGGGGGGGGGCATCCAAAGTAAAGCACTTTCTTAGCCTGCAGGAGAAAAGGTCACTTTGCTCACAGGAACTCTCGGCAGAACAAATGTAGAAGAGAAGAAGAGATTGGATTTACACACCACCCTTCGCTACCCAAAGGAGTCTCAGAGCGGCTTACAGACTCCTTTCCCTTCCCCTCCCCACAACGGACACCCTGGGTACGTTCAGACGGGGGATTTACAACGGTTAGGGTGCTGGTTCCAACCGGTGTACTTACGGGCATTCACACGGTGAACATCTGCCTCCCGTCCCTAAACGTTATAAATCCCTTTAAACCGTTGCACTCTGCCACTAGTTCCTAAGTGGTGGTAAACTGAGTGCAACGGTTGAAAACGGTGCACCCCGGCGTCTGATCGCTCTCCCTGTGAGGTAAAAGAAGAAGAAGAGATTGGATTTATACACCGCCCTTCACTACCCAAGGGAGTCTCAGAGCGGCTTACAAACTCCTTTCCCTTCCCCTCCTCACAACAGACACCCTGTGAGGTAAAAGAAGAAGAAGAAGAGATGAGATTTATACCCCGCCCTTCACTACCCAAGGGAGTCTCAGATCGGCTCACAAACTCCTCTCCCTTTCCCTCCCCACAACAGGCACCCTGTGAGGTAAAAGAAGAAGAAGAAGAGATTGGATTTACACCCCACCCTTCACTACCCAAAGGAGTCTCAGAGCGGCTTACAAACTCCTGTCTCTCCCCCTCCCCACAACAGACACCCCTGTGAGGTCGGTGGGGCTGAGAGAGCTCTTGACAGAAACTGCTCTTTTTCAAGAACAGCTCTGACAGAGCTAGGGCTTGCCCAAGGTCATCCAGCCAGGTCCAAGTGGAGGAGTGGGGAATCAAAACCGGTTCTCCCAGATTAGAGTCTGCGCACTTCACCACGACACCAAACTGTAGAGTCCAGTGGCACCTTGAAGACCAGCAAAGGTTTATTCAAGGCACACTTTTTTCAAATACAGCGGAATACACACGAAAGCTCACGCCTTGAATAAACCTCTGCTGGTCTTCAAGGTGCCACCAGACTCTAACTTTGTTCCGCTGCTACCTTGTAATCAACGCTCCCTCTAAGCTGTGGAGTCTTGTGAGCAAAAATTCTACTTTGTGGGCTACTGGCATTAAAGTTGTGAGCAGGTGATTTGGCTCCTGCATCAATTAGTTTGCTCTGGAGCCCTCCTTCCTGAGCTAAGACAGAAAACGTGTGAGACGGAGGCTAAGAAACTGTGAGCTAGCTCACACTAACTCAGCTTAGAGGGAACACGGCTTGTGACCAGTGTTCCCTCTAAGCTGAATTAGTATGAGCTAGTTCACAGTTTTTTAACCTCCGGCTCACACATTTTCTATCTTGGCTCAGGAAGGACGGCTCCAGAGTGAACAGTAGCCCAATCGCTCGCTCACAACTTTAATAGCAGTAGCTCACAAAGTAGAATTTTTGCTCACACGGCTCTGCAGCTTAGAAGGATCACTGCTAGTAACTCCCAGTGTTTCCGTGGAGAGGCACTCTTTCTCTCACACACACACTCTCTCTGCCTCCTCCTTGCTGACTTGGTACAGCATTTTGCAAAGAAACGCTCCAATTCGGGATTTTGCAGGGCCACCTGGGAACTCCACAAGGGCCACTCGGTTCAGCTCAGCCCCGTTTCGGAAATCAGGGCAGAGGGAACGAGGAGTGAGGGCCCCGCGGGAGACGCACGGGAGCAGAGAGGGGAAGTGGCAGAACAGACCGTTGCTTCAGAGTGCCGTGGAGGATCACAGGACGGGACGCTCCCCAGGGTTGGAAACGCAGGCGGATAACCGGCCCAGCCACCGATGCTCCCTCTAAGCTGTGGAGTCTTGTGAGCAAAAATCCTACTTTGTGAGTGTCACGGCTCAGGTGGGGGTGTCATGTGACGCTGCCACCACTCTGGTTCCAGGCTCCCTTGAGAAGGCCCAGAGCACCTTCCCAAGACCTTCAGACCTCCCTTTTGGCCGAATAACAGGCGTGAGGACCAGGCAGAGTACAACAAGGAAAAGGTTTATTTTATAGGAGGTCAAACAAACAAGGTGCAGAATAACAGTAAGTGGGTGAAAAGAAAAGAAATCAAATGCCCTATCGCGTCTAAATATATACTGTCCGTAGCTCACTATCTGCAGTGTCCTTAGACTACTCACCCTTCCCTCAGGATGAGGGTTTCTTCCCACAGCAGCCTTCCTTCTGGCTCTGCCCTCTGGGAAGAAGAACAGCTTCTTCTGCTGCTCCAGGTCTTTTATTCCAAGCCCTCCTCCTTCCCTGTTGGTCAATTTTGGCTCCAAAACCTCTCAGGGGCTTCTGGGAGTTGTAGGCCCAGCCTCGACCTACTGCTAGCCAGGCTCCCTGGGCCTAGTAGGCCTCTGGTGGCACAGCCCAGATCATGACAGTGAGCGACTGGCATTAAAGTTGTGAGCGAGCGATTGGGCTACGGTATGAATCAGTTTGCTCTGGAGCCGTCCTCCCTGAGCTAAGATGACAATGTGTGAGCCGGAGGCTAAAAAACACTAACTCAGCTTAGAGGGAACACTGCCGGCCATCAAAGAGATGCACTGCAGATTTTTAAAGGAGTTTTGTAATCTAAAAAAGGGGGGGGGATTCAGTCATGATTTTGACTTTTCCTGGCTGGCACCCAAGAGTCTCTCCCCATCTTCTTGGGGAATGGGGGGGGGGAGCCCCCTATCTCTGCCCAGGATGAAACCCATTAATAACACGGGCGATGCTCCCTGCCATGTTAGAGTTAGACTTCAGCCAATGATTGACACACAGAGACAGCTAAGAGGGAAAGGAGGGTGGAGCCAGTTTGGTGTAGTGGTTAGGAGCAGTGTTCCCTCTAAGCTGAGTTAGTGTGAGCCAGCTCACAGTTTTTTAGCCTCCGGCTCACACATTTTTGTCTCAGCTCAGGAAGGAGGGCTCCAGAGCAAACTGTTTTCTGCAGTAGCCAGATCACTCGCCAGTAGCTCACAAAGTAGAATTTTTGCTCATGAGACTCCACAGCTTAGAGGGAACATTGGTTAGGAGTGCAGACTGTAATCTGGGAGAGCTGGGTTTGATTCCACCCCTCCTCCACTTGAACCTGCTGGTGCGACCCTGGATCAGTTCGGGTTCTTTCAGAGCTGTTCTGTCAAGAGCAGTCCTTAGGATCACAGAATCATAGAATGTTAAGAGTCGGAAGGGACCTCGCAGGTCATCTAGTCCCACCCCCTGCACTCTGCAGGAGCACAGCCGAAAGAGAGCCCTACAGCATACCCGAAAGATGGTCGTCCAGCCTCTGCTTGAAAATGTCCAGCAAAGGAGCATCCACCACCTCCCAAGGCAGTCTGTTCCACTGTTCAACCACTCTTGAGAGCCAGTTCGGTGTCGTGGTTAAGTGCGCGGACTCTAATCTGGGAGAACCGGGTTTGATTCCCCACTCCTCCACTTGCACCTGGCTGGATGGCCTTGGGCAAGCCGTAGCTCTGATAAGAGCTGTCCTTGAAAAAGAGCAGTTTCTGTCAAGAGCTCTCTCAGCCCCGCCTACCTCACAGGGTGTCTGTTGTGGGGAGGGGAAGGGAAAGGCGTTTGTAAGCCGCTCTGAGACTCCTTTGGGTAGTGAAGGGCGGGGTATAAATCCAATCTCTTATCTTCTTCTCTTAAATCAGGAAGTTTCTCCTGATATTTAGCCGGTAACTACTTGAAAGAGCTCTCTCAGCCCCACCCACCTCACAGGGGGTCTGTTGTGGGTCAGTCACGAGTTCTCTCAGAGCTGTTCTCTCAAGGGCAGTCCTCAAGAGACCTCTCTCAGCCCCACCGACCTCACAGGGGGTCTGTTGTGGGGAAGGGGAAGGGGATTGTAAGCCACTCTGAGACTCCGAGTGAAGGGCAGGGTATAAATCCAATCTCCTCCTCTTCTACGAACACCCCTGGGGATATAATATCCCTGCAGGATTGTGGGAACTCTGGGATGGGCAAGACGAGATTTTTGCCAAAGCGTTCCGCATCGCTTTGTCCCTATTTTCTTTAACCGCTTCTCCGTGTCTCTCAGACATTCCAAGGGCAACGAGAGGGAATGCTCAAACCTCATCAGGCTAGGGTGTTTTTTGTTTGTTCCGCTTTTGGGGGAATCCTTTTTTTTTTTAGAAAAATCTGCAAACTAATATTTTCCTACCAATCTAGGGAGTCCCCCAAGGATTCAGGAACACCCCTCTGCAGTAGGTTCTCGGCTATAGTGTCTGCTGTTGGAGTAGTGGGATGGCTCCTAATGTCCTGGCCCCACTGGTGGACCTCCTGATGGCACTGGTATTTCTGGCCACTGTGTGATACAGAGTGTTGGACTGGATGGGCCTTTGGCCTGATCCAACATTGGCATCTCTTATGTTCTTATGTTAGTACTGCCCTGACGGCTAAGGGTGACTCGTCACAGACCACCGAAAGCTCTTAGCAGCAGCATGCAATCCTAGCATGCTATATGCATGGAGATATTTTCAGAGGATAGCCATGTTGGTCTGTAGCAGAAGAGCTGAATACAAATCCAGTACCCCTTAGAGGTAAAGGTCAAGGTTCCCTTGCTCGAAAGCCAGTCGAGTCCGACTCTAGGGTTGCGGTGCTCATCTCCGTTTCAAAGCCGAAGAGCCGGGGCTGTCCGAAGACGTTTCCGTGGTCATGTGGCCGGCATGACTAAACACCAAGGCACACGGAACGCTGTTCCCTTCCCACCGAAGGGGTACCTATTTACCTACTTGCAATTTCTTGCTTTCGAACTGCTAGGTTGGCAGGAGCTGGAACTAGAGACGGGAGCTCCGTCCTGCGGCACACTCGGGTCTCGAACTGCTGAACTACCGACCTTCCACAGCCTGCAGTTCAGCGTCTTAACCACTTGAGCCACCGCAGCTCCTTACCCCTTAGAGGTACTGAAGCTCAAATACTTTGGCCACCCAATGAGAAGGGAGCACTCCCTGGAGAAGACCCTGATGCTGGGAAAGATGGAAGGTCAAAGAAGATGGGGACGGTAAAGGATGGGATGGTTAGACAGTGTCATCGATGCAGCGAACATGAAGTTGAGCTAACTTCAGAGGACGGCGGAAGACCGGAAGGCCTGGCGTGATCTGGCCCATGGGGTCGCAAAGAGTCGGACTCGACTGTGCGACTGAACAACAACAACCCCTTAGAGACCAACAAGATTTTCGGGGTATCACCTTTCGAGAGTCAAAAGGTCCCTTGGTTCCAATCTAGCTGTTCCATGCACAGAGTTTCCTTGCCATCCCTCTCTTCCTGTAGCCTCTTCCCACTCCCGGAAAGTTCATACCCCGAAATTCTATTTCCTGGGGTCAAAAAGGGCTGCCGGAACAGAGAGGAACCTGGGGAAACTTCTGGCACAGTCGCTTGGCATCACACCGGCGTATTGGCAAAAAAGGCACTCTGGGTATCACATTCCCAATATGTGAAAAACGTGCCGTTCCAAGCGTGCTGGGCCTGGATTCTGAGTTGCCAGCTCTGGGTTGGGATATTCCTGGAGCTTTTGGGGGTGGAGCCTGGGGAGGGCGGGGTTTGGCTGCATGTGGAGAAGCGGTCCTCCCAGATTAGAGTCCACATTCCTAGTTGTTGTTCAGTAGCACAGTCGATTCCGACTCTTCGCGACCCCATGGGCCAGATCATGCCAGGCCTTCTGGTCTTCCGCCGTCCTCTGAAGTTTGCTCAATTTCATGTTCGTTGCATCTATGACACTGTCTAACCATCTCATCCTTTGCTGTCCCCGTCTTCTTTGACCTTCAATCTTTCCCAGCATCAGGGTCTTTTCCAGTGAGTGCTCCCTTCTCATTGGGTGGCCAAAGGATTTGAGCTTCAGTTTCATTATCTGGCCTTCCAGGGAACAGTCAGGGTTGATTTCTTTCAGGATTGACTGATTTGATCTCCTTGCAGTCCAAGGGACTCTCAAGAGTCTTTTCCAGCACCATAGTTCAAAAGAATCTATTCTTTGGCGCTCAGCCTTCCATATACTCCAACTCTTGCAGCCATACATGACTACTGGGGATACCATTGCTTTGTCCATGCGGACTTTTGTTGGCAGGGTGATGTCTCTACTTTTTATCATGCTGTTTAGGTTCAGCATCGCTTTCCTCCCAAGGAGCAGCCGTCTTTTGATTTCATGGCTGCTGTCACAGTCTGTGGTGATCTGGGATCCCAGGAACGTGAAGTCTGTCACTACCTCCACGACTTCCCCTTCTATTTGCCACTACATTCCTAGCCACTACACCAAACCGGCTCTCTTGACATACGCACAGTGTTTTATTCCAACTGACGTTTTTGTGGACTGGAGCCGGCTTTGTCGGATGCATAAGGCGGTGCCTTCACTAAGCAGACATTGACAGCAGTAGAAAAGAGCGAGACTCCAGTAACACCTAAAAGACCGACAAGGTTTGGGGCAGGGTTAGGCGCTTCCCTGAGTCACTGCTGACTTCTTCAGATACGGCTAGGGCAATGTCCCCTCTAAGCTGTAGAGTCTTGTGGGCAAAAATTCTACTCGGCGAGCGACTGGCATTAAGGTTGCGAGCGAGCGACTTGGCAGCTGCAACAATGAGTTTGCTCTGGAGCCCTCCTTCCTTCGCTAAGACCAAAATCTGTGAGCTGGAGGCTAAAAAACTGAGCTGGCTCACACTGACTCGGCTTAGAGGGAACATTGGCTAGGATGCGAGTCCCTCTGTCCTCATATCTTGCCGAGTGGAGTGATTTCCAAGGCCCCCTTTTGTAAGGCCTGGGTGTGGCCGGGCAACACGTCGCTTACAAAGACTTTACAATCCTTTGGGAAATCCTCGAAACCGCCTCCTGAAAAGTGCTGACAAAAGCGGCTCTGCAGAGCTTCCCACGGGCCTCTCCGAGCCAGGAGAGGACAGGTCTTCACATGTATTTCTCCCCCTCCTGTTTCCTCCACCCCACCCTGCCTCCAATACACATCTTGGCGGGGAGGGGGGGGGCAGGAGGTCCAAAGGTGAGTGGAAGAGCAAAGAAACCAACCGTCCTCGCACCTCTCGCCTTTCCCACACAGAGAGGCTCCGGCTGGGCTCAGAGACTCCCGGGCTTGGCAGCAAGATGGGCCGACTGGTCACCCTGGGGATCCACGGACTCCTTTCCCTCTGCATCCATCTTTCGGCTGCGTCCTTAGGTGAGGCGGAGACCCATTGGTTTCCTGGCGTCGATGGGGAAAGTCAGACTCCATTTGGCCATAAGCATAGGGTGTGAGAAGAACTTCCTTCCTTCCTTCCTTCCTTCCTTCCTTCCTTCCTTCCTTCCTCCCTTCCTTCCTTCCTTCCTTCCTTTCTCACCTTTCTCACCTTTCTCTCTCCTTCCTTCTTTCTTTTTCTTTCTTTCTCTTCCTTCCTTTCCTTTTTCCTTTCCTTTCCTTTCTCTGTCTTGCTTTTTCTTTCTTTTTCTTTCTTTCTCTCTTTCCTTCCTTTCCTTTCCTCTCCCTCCCTTCCTTCCTTCCTTCCTTCCTTCCATCCTTTCTTCCTTCCCTCCTTCCTTCCTTCCTGCCTTCCTTCCTTCCTTCCTTTCTTTCTTTCTTTCTTTCTTTCTCTTCCTTCCTTTCCTCTTTCCTTTCCTTTCCTTTCTTTTCTCTCTCTTGCTCTTTCTTTCTTTCTTTCCTTTCTTTCTCTCCTTCCTTACTAAGGAAATCTTGTTACCTTTTGGAGTACCAGTGTCATCCAAATCTTTGGGCACTTAATCTAAAGATGGGAGAGAGCCGCTATTTGCTGTAAATACTCAACGCCCGGCTGGTGAGGCAGGAGCGATATTCATGGGATGATGTGTCCCAACCTTTCCTGGCTTCTGTAGCACTTGGGTGCTTCTCTGCCCTGGAATCCGCATCTCTGTGTTGCTATATCTGCTTTTCTGATTCCCAACTTGGATTTCAAACGCAGGCGCTTCTAGTTACGTCCAGTGCTCTTTTCCAGAGAGAGCTTTCCTGGAGATCCACTGCAGCAAACCGGGATGTAAAACATTTCAGCGATAACAATTTGTTTGCTCTTTCTCTGTGGTGGTAAATGTTTTCCCAAACCTTGTGAAACTGGCAGACGGTTCTCAGTGCATTCCAGGGTCATCTGTCTGTGCTGAATGGGTGTTTTCCATTGTCGGCCTTCCTGGGAACAGGCTGCTCAAAGACAGACATGGGGACACATTAACGAGTTCATTTTCCCCAACAGATATCAGTCGCAGACCTGATAATGCATCCGGACCTGTGGGGAGAGGTGGGAAGTCCCCGCTCTGGAATGAAGCTGCTTTGGATGGTTCAATTTTTTTTATCCCCTAACACAGGGACAAAGCAGAACCAAAACGGTCTCCAAAAACCAACAAGCTTATCCTTAACTTCTCAGAACCAAAGCGGCATCGGGGCTCGAGGGGCGGTTCTGGAAGACCCGGGTTCTAAATGCCCACTTGTGCGATGGAAGCTTGCTGAGTGATTTTGGTTCTGTTGGGGGGGGGGGAACGTGAGGGATCGAGCAGGTAGAGAAGGAAGGCCTTTTCTCCCTTTATCACAAGACAAGAACTCGTGGGCACTCCATGAAATTGCTGAGCAGTCAGGTTAGAACAGATAAAAGGAAGCCCTTCTTCAGCCAGAGAGTGATTAACACATGGAATTCACTGCCACAGGAGGTGGCGGCGGCTACAAGCATGGACAGCTTCAAGAGGGGATTGGATAAGCATATGGAGCAGAGGTCCATCAGTGGCTATTAGCCACAAGGTATAGATAGGGACTCTCAGTCTGGGGCAAGGGAGGCTCTGTCTTCTTGGTGCTGGGGGGGGGGGGCAACAGGGGGAGGGCTTCTAGTGTCCTGGCCCCACTGCTGGACCTCCTGATGGCCCCTGGTATTTTTGGCCACTGTGTGACAGAGCGTTGGACTGGACGGGCCACTGGCCTGATCCAACATTGGCTTCTCTTCTGTTCTCGAGATCTCCGGGCCCCACCTGGAGGGTGGCAACCCTAACCTCTCCCCAACTGATTTCTGTTTTTAAAAGAGTCTGTTGGGTCCGCTTCTCTCTCTTTATCTTAACGTCTGAGCTCGGCAAACGTCCGGCGTGTTATCAGCGGTTTTCCAGAGTCTTCTGGGAGGTTGATTAGCCAACCAGGGCTATTTTTGGGCAGGAACACACAGGAACGGAGTTCCGGCTGGCTCCCAAGTTGGCCACACCCAGCAGGAACTTATTAGCATAACAGGCCACACCCAACAGCAGAAACTCATTAGGATTGGCTACATTAGGGGTGTGTGCCCTAACATGCAAAGGAGTTCCTGCGACAACAAAAGCCCTGGGTTTTGACAACAAACAAGGTAAACAGAATAAGAAGCAAAAGGTGGGTGTGGCTGGATGACCACACTTCTGGTAACGTGGGGGTGTGGCCTAATATGCTAATGAGTGGTGCAATCAGGGGTGTGCCCTAATATGCTAATGAGTTTCTGCTGCTGGGTATGGCCTATTATGGTAATGAGTTCCTGCTGGACTTTTTCTACAAAAAAAGCCCTGGCCAAATCTAATGGAGATGGAGCCCTTTTGGCTACCTGTTCCCAGCTTCTGGTATACTGCCTCTGTCCATGGAGGTTTAGCACAACACAGTGGCCACACACGCTGGGGTTTCTGACTGTCCTCCACCAGCCAAATGCTCAGATAGGAAGACGATTAGGGCACGGCCCCCTTTTCAAGAGTCAGTTTTTCCCGGAGGCTTTTTGTATAGAAACTCACCCACAGTGCAATTTTGCAAAGTAGTATCGGTTGTAGGAATCAGCTGCGGACTTGTCAGATTCAAAGCAATCTTTGCACAAAATGGGGTTTCCGGAAAAGCAGAAGAGCCCTTTTCTGGCGGGGAAGAAGGGCTGTGTCTGTTGTAATCCTGCCTTCTAGGGGCGGTTCTGATCCATCATGTCTGTCTAATGGACACAATGCCAGTTTGTTGTCGAAGGCTTTCACGGCCGGAGTTCATTAGATTATGTAGATTTTCCGGGCTGTCTGGCCGTGGTCTTGGCATTGTAGGACCTGACGTTTCGCCAGCAGCTGTGACTGGCATCCTCAGAGGTATACCACAGAAAGATGGAGGACTCTCTGTGTCAAGGTGAGAAGAAAAATGGTAGGCAGGTAATTTATATCTACTCCAGAAGGTGGGGTAGGGCTGAGTCATTATCTTGTAGGAGTTCCCCAGGCTGTGAACATGCTAATGGAGGGGCTTTCCTGAGGAGGTTCTTTTGTAAATGGATTGCTTCCTGAGGAGGTTTCCCGTTTCCTGAGGCGGTTCTTTTATATGTGGATTGGCTGTGGAAATTCTAATCTTATCTATAGTGCTATTGTCAGATGTAGAGCCTTTTGTGTTTTTCAGGACAGGAAACCATGCCCGATTTATTTTTAAACTGTCTTCTTTTGCCAGTTTGGTGTCGCACGGACTTTAATCTGGGAGAACTGGGTTTGATTCCCCACTCCTCCACTTGCAGCTGCTGGATGACCTTCGGCAAGTCATAGTTCTCTCAGAGCTATCCTTGAAAAAAGAGCAGTTTTTGTCAGAGCTCTCTCAGCCCCGCCTACCTCGCAGGGTGTCTGTTGTGGTGAGGGGAAGGGAAAGGAGTTTGTAAGCTGCTCTGAGACTCCCTTGGGTAGTGAAGGGTGGGGTATAAATCCAATCGCTGCTTCTTCTTCATGTTTAAATTTTTAAAAAACTCTCTTCTTCAATGACTCAGCCCGACCCCACCTTCCTGAGTAGATATAAATTACCTGCCTACCATTTTTCTTCTTCTCACCTTGACACAGAGAGTACTCCATCCTTCTGTGTTATACCTCTGAGCAGGGGTCATTTCCTGTGGGAGCGCACAGGAGCGGAGCTCTGGCAGTAAGGAGCCCAGGGAGCAGGCACATGCAACAAGCACCACCCCCTGCTCCCAGCAGCCCTCAGTAGGTTTATTCAGGCACAAGCTCTCCCTCCTCTGTGAGGACAGATCTGCACGTTCCCCCCCCCCAATAGCTAGCAATCCAGAACAGTCCAGTGGAGCCTGAGCGGTGGGTGTTGCCTTCTGACACACTTCCGGTGATGTCAGGGAGTGTGGCATATGCAAAATAAGTTATGCTAATAAATTATGCTAATGAGATTCTGCACCTCTTTTTCTTTTCTTTTCTTTTAAAGTACCCACAGGTACACTTTTATTAATTTTTTTTAATCTACAACAAACAAATCTACACACTACAAACAGACACTCTGCTACACATAACGTATATACCAAGAGTGCAGTTACATTATATGCTTATATGCAATTACTTAATTAATAAAAACGCTATATCAAATACTTTCCATTCTCCTACCTTCTGTGTTCTCAAGTCCATTGCACTATCCTTGCCTAATCTTCAATTACATTTGCATTATACCAATCATAAAACTTTTTCCATGTTTTTTGAAATGTCCCCTCTTTACTTAATCTCATTTCTAGAGTCAGTTTATCATTTTCTGCTGTTTCAAAAAGTTTATTCACCTCTTTTTCTACGAAATGACCCCTGCCTCTGAGGATGTCAGTCACAGCCACTGCCGAAACGTCAGGTCCTACAATGCCAAGACCATGGCCACTCAACCTGGAAAAACCTCAACAGACAATGCCAGTTTCTTCTTGACGATCCCGAAGAAATGAGATTTCACATTTGAGCACCTGGGCAGAAATGCTTCTTGTGCCAGCCTCATTTAAACATCCACAACCGGCTCTAGGGTTGCCAAATCCAGGTTGGGAATTTCCTGGAGATTTGGGAATGCAGCCTGGAGAGGATGGGGTTTGGGGAGGGGATGGATTCCATTTCCTCCAGTGTAACTGATCTCAATCTGGAGACAAGATGTAACTTCAGGAAGCCTCCAGGCCCCACCTGGAGGTTGGCAACCCTGATTTCCTCTTATCTAGCCTCTTTTCCCAACAGGGCCCAGCCCCACATCTCCAAGAAGCCCACAGCCAAGCCGTGAGAGTGCTGGCCCTTAATGTTTTGTCTATGTATCCCATGTTTCTGACATCAAGAGAGACTGCCGCTGCACATGGAAGTTCTTCTTTGCTCGCGTGGCTAGCTGACATCGTTCCCCTGATCCACCGTGGTGAATTTTTCCTCTGCTGTCTGCCCCCACTTCCTGCGCTGGCAGGTTCCATGCATTAATGACACCCCACGCAAGGCCATTAACTTCCTTCTCTTCCTAACACTTCCAGAGGATGAAAAAGATCCAAAGTATTGGAACGAGAGAGCCGGGCAGACGCTGCAATCCGCACTCAAGTTGACTCCAGTGGCCCATCGAGCGAAGAACGTTATTCTTTTCCTGGGAGACGGTGAGTGGGAGCGTACCCGGATGCACACTGGTGGAACAGGGGCCAGGGGACAATTTGGCATCCTCCACAAATGACTGGAAGCGCCGGCCACAAAGCCTGCGAAGGAAAAGAAAGAAATCAGGCTGGTAAGTAAAGGTAAAGGTTCCCTTGCTCGAAAGCCAGTCGAATCCGACTCTAGGGTTGCGGTGCTCATCTCCGTTTCAAAGCCGAAGAGCCAGCGCTGTCCGAAGACGTTTCCGTGGTCATGTGGCCGGCATGACTAAACACCAAGGCGCACGGAACACTGTTACCTTCCCACCAAAGTGGTCCCTATTTATCTACTCTCAATTTCTTGCTTTCGAACTGCTAGGTTGGCAGGAGCTGGAACTAGAGACAGGAGCTCACCCCGTCTTGCGGCACCCGGGTCTTGAACTGCTGAACTACTGACCTTCTACAGCCTGCAGTTCAGCGTCTTAACCACTTGAGCCACCGCAGCTCAAAATCAGGCTGGTACAGAGTCTCAAAAAACTAGCAAAACAACTGTGTGCTATATTTCCCGCAACATATCCATAAAGACTTCATTTAAAGTGTGATGTATCCAGGGGTCATTTCCTGCTGGAGCGCGGTGGAGCGGCGCTCCGGCAGTAAAGAGCCCGGGGTGCCCCCCCCCCGCTGCCACCATTCCTGGCCCACCTGCAGAGGCGGACAGGCCAAGGAAGGTCCGCTGCCTTGAGGGATTTAAGTGTCTTTCTTTCCCTTCCCCAGATGGGGAGGGGAGAGAAAGGCATTCTAAACATGCCCGGGTTCTCTGCCCGATCTTCTAAAGGTGCTCCACAGCCACGGGCCACCTGGAGAAGATCAGGCAGGGAACCCAGGCATGCTTGCATTCCTGTGCTTTGCAAGGGGGTGTGGCATATGGAAATGAGCTATGCAAATGAGCCCCTGCACCTCTTTTTTTTTTACGAAATGACCCCTGGATGTATCAATGACATGAAATCAATATGCCCATACAATCCATCATACGGAAATGACCCCTGGATGTATCTATGACATGAAATCAATATGCCCATACAATCCATCATACGGAAATACAGAGGCCAAAGAGTAAATATACAGAATTATACTTGCAGCTGCTGGATGACCTTGAGCAAGCCACAGTTCTGTCAGAGCTGTTCTTGAAAAAGAGCTGCTCTTGAAAAAGAGCAGTTTCTGTCAGAGTTCTCTTGTCCCCACCTACCTCCCTGGGTGTCTGTTGTGGGGAGGGGAAGGGAAAGGAGTCTGTAAGCTGCTCTGAGACACGATTGGGTAGTGAAGGCCGGGGTATAAATCCACCCTCCTCCTCCTCCTCCTCTTCACTGTGGCCCTGTTTTTCCACCAGTGCTTCTTCCAAGCTGCCTGCAAGTTTTCTCTCCAGACCTCCCCTGTGACATGGGTTATTCAGGAAAAGAAGAGGGTCTTGGGCAATTAAGTTGGGGGGCCAAAAGGCTGGGAAAAGGACAGGGGAGGGCAACCAAGATGATTAGGGGGGTTTGAGCACCTTCCCTAGGAGGAAAGGCTGAAGAGCCTGGGACTTTTCCGTTTAAAAAAGAGACGACTGGGGGAGGGGGGGGACAGGATCGAGGTCTATAAAATTATGCAAGGGATGAAGAGAGTTGACAAAGAGAAATTTTTCTACCTCTCTCAAAAGACTGGAACTGGAGGGCATCCAGTGAAGCTGCCGGGCAGTAGGTTCGGGACGGATAAAAGGAAATACTACTTTACACAGCGAGTGATTAAAATGTGGAATTCGCTGCCAGAGGTTGTATTTAGAAGAAGAAGAAGAGATTGGATTTGTACTCTGCCCTTCACTACCCGAAGGAGTCTCAGAGCGGCTTACAAACGCCATTCCCTTTCCTTCCCCACAACAGGCACCCTGTGAGGTAGGTGGGGCTGAGTGACAGAAACGGCTCTTTTTCAAGAACAGCTGTGCCAGAGCTACAGCTTGCCCAAGGTCATCCAGCAGGTGCAAGTGGAGTGGGGAATCAAACCCAGTTCTCCCAGGTTAGAGTCCGCGTGTTTAACCACTGCACCAAACCACTACACACTTTATTTATATCCCGCTTTCCCCCCCCCCAATGGGGACCCAAAGCGGTTTGCATCATTCTCCTCTCTGTCTTATTCTGGCCCAAGGTCACCCAGTGGGTTTCCCGTGGCAAAGTGAGGATTCAAACCTAGGTCTTCCAGATGTTAGTCCATCCCTTTAAGCATTACAGCACACTGGCTTGCCGCTTGCAGGCTTCCACATACACCCACGCACGCATTTTGCAGAAATGAACCAGAACAATTTAGGTAATACGATATGCAGTCAAGTGTTCAGTCGGTCCTAATGAAAGGTATTATGCAGACTGTGTTCCGGGAGTTTGGATTTTTCTTTTCAATTGGCACAGCTGACGAGAACTACACGCGGGAACAGGGCCTCCTCCTCTAAAGCAATCCCTAAAAACAGCGCGCACGGCTGCATTACGGATTGGCGTATTCGAAATCTCTACGAGAGATACTGTGTCCGCAATGACAGATAACGGAATTGAAGCGCACGCCAACGATGCGCGATTTAACAGATCGACGCTTAGAGATGTGAAGGCCTGGAAAAAACCCGGAAAAATTAGGGGGGGAAACGTTTTTTTCCTGTTTTTTTCCTGAAGCCTTTTTGTTTTTTTCTGAAAAATTGGAAAAATTGAAAAAAGAAAAAAAAATGATTATGGAACGTTTTATTTTAACATGATGAATAAAATATTTTAAGACCAGGTGTTCAAATATTTTCCGAATCATTTCTAAAAAAAAAATATGTATGGTGTCAGATTGATCTAATTTCTGTGCACGGAGGACAAGCAAGTCCTAGGTTACAAACTGAACTCTCCAATGCAAGAACAAGATGCATTTCTTCCTTTAGGAGGTGCTATTGTCACAAGAAAAGAAAAAGGTTTCAGTTTTGTTTTTGCATGTGGGTGGGTATTCTGTTTGTAATAATTGTTTGGATACACTATATTTTAATATGCTAGTTGTGATAATTTCATGCCAAGTACAAATGTCCATAGTCAAATTTTATGTTCCTAAAGTAACAGAATAACTTTCAATCTAGAAAAAACAAAAGAAATGCCAATGTAGCATTTTTTCAATTTTTCTGAAAATTTCCGTTTCCCCCCGGAAAAAAACGGGTTTTTTTCCGAGCTTCAAAATTTCCGGAAATTTTACATCTCTATCGACGCTACCCCGCTCTTAAGAAGCGGACTCGTTCCATTTGACTTAGAGGCACATTTGTTTAAGTCGACTCGGTCGTTTCGACTTGATTGAAATGTGATGCAGGCAAGGTGAAAGGACTCACCCCTCCCCGCTCTGGTGCGCCTTAGCATGTGCTCGGCGCCTTATTTATCCTGGGCCAACACACCTGCAAAGCAACTGTGCGGTGGACGTGTTGCCGTTTTGCATGGACGGCGTCCCCATTTAAATGAGACAGCGTGTGAATGGATAAACGTATGGAGCAGAGGCCCATCAGTGGCTATGAGCCACAAGCAATGCTCTCTCTAAGCTGTGGAGTCCTGTGAGCAAAAAGTCTACTTTGTGAGCTCCTGGCATTAAAGTGGTACATATTCACTTTAGAATCTCTAAATGATAAGATAAGGAATAATGATAGGATAAAAGGTCTGAGAGTAAAAGGTGAAGTGCTTAAACCCCAGGCCTTCACAGATGATTTAATCTTTATATTGGAGGAACCAGAACGATCGATAACTCATTTAATATCTGATATTCAGGAATATGGAAACTTAGCGGCGTTAAAAATTAACTTCCAAAAAACCTAAAATAATAGTTAAAAGCTGTGCACAAAGGTTAATACAAAAAATTCAAGAGATTTCAAAAATGGAGGTAGTTCAAAAAGCAAAATATTTAGGAATTTGGATTGCCAATAAAACATCAACCTTATACGAAAGCAACTATATACAACTTCTAAAAGAAATCAAAGTAGATTTAACCCGGTGGGATAAAAAACATCTTTCGTTATTGAGCAGAATCGCAACTGTCAAAGTGAATATATTACCAAGATTCCTTTTTCTGGCACAAAACTTACCAATTATTAGAAAATACCAATACTTCAAAGATTTGGAAAAAATGGTTGGTAAATTCATTTGGCATTCAAAAAAACCACGGATTACAAAAAAATTCTACTTTGTGAGCTACTGTCCTTAAAGTGGTGAGCGAGCGATTTGGCTGCTGCATAAATCAGTTTGCTCTGGAGCCCTCCTTCCTGAGCTGAGACAAAAATCTGTGAGCCAGAGGCTAAAAACCTGTCAGCTAGCTCACACTGACTCAGCTTAGAGGGAAACACTGGCCACAAGATAATAGATAGGAACTCTCAGGCTGGGGCAGGTGACGCTCTGTGTTCTTGGTGCTGGGGGGGGGGGGCAACAGTGGGAGGGCTTCTAGTGTCCTGGCCCCGCTGGTGGACCTCCTGATGGTATTTTTGGCCACTGTGTGACAGAGTGTTGGACTGGATGGGCCATTGGCCTGATCCAACATGGGCTTCCCTGTTCTTAATGTGCCACAGCATGTAACGTTGCCAACACCAGGCTGGGAAATTCCTGGAGATTCCAGGGTGGAGCCCGGGGAGGACCGTGTTTATGGAGGGAAGGGTGGTCAGCAGTGATTACTGATCCTTTCTTCCCCAGGGATTTCCCAAGGCAGAATTGGCCACCCTAGAAGAGAGCCAGTGATGAGAGAGCGCCTCCCCTGCTACAAATTTTGCTAGTCTTTGAGGTGCTGCAGACAGACTGACACGGCGACCCATCCTGGCCGAAGATCCTTAAATGATCTTCAAGAGGAAAGGGAGGGTTTGAATCTGGGTCTCCCGTGTCAGTCTGTCTGCAGCAGTTGAAAAGAGCAAGAGTCCAGTGGCACCTCAAAGACTAGCAAAATTTGTAGCAGGGGAGGCGCTCTCTCATTAGTCACCGCTCACTTCTTCAGATAAAGCTAGAATGGGAGTCCATCTG